CAATGCTGCACTAGGCACCGTTCAACTGCGCAACCCCTAAAAATAGTAAGCAGTCAAATATAAGCAGTCAATATAGCCCTAAGGAGTGAAATATGCAGGAATATTTGACTGCTTAGGTATAACTTTTGCCCCGCCCCCACTTCCATCCAATATGCCACCGCCCACGCTGTGCAGCATCTGATGGTACTGTGGTATTCAGTAAAAAATAAAAAATAGCGAAAATCAATGGGAGTCAATACTAAGGGAATGATAACCGCAGATAATAGTGAAGGGGATCGAGAAGCAGGGGTAGAGTGGTGAGACTAGACTAAAGTAGAGGCGAATGATTCGTGCAAAAATACATGATATACATGTACATGTACATGTATGGGGGGGGGGGGGGAGAAATAACTTTTGTTATGCTTTCCGGAGTTCCCCATGAACGATGAGACTCCACTTCCATTGAAGAAGTTCGTTGAGCTCAAGCTTCGAACTGTTCAACTCCCAAAACGCTCTCTGTGGCACGCACCCGTTGCTGTCACTGTGCCCCCACCATGCCTCAACGTACATGTACGTCAGAACCCATGTAGAACTGAGAGACCACCGTTTCCGCTGTCCAACCATGCCACTAATTCGCTGTAGTATTGGGCAGTACTTGGTACATTTTCTGGTAATTTTCATGCATGTACACATGCATGTATGGTACATTTTCTGGTAATTTTCATGCATGTACATGTACACATGCATGTACAGTAAAACCTGTAAGCGACCACACCACGGTGCGAGCAAAAGCGGTCGTTAAAGCCAGGTGGTCTTTAGAGCCAGGTCCCACAGTGTCTGTGTAGAACTGTCGGTGCATGGAAAAACGGTCGCTACGAGCAGGTGGTCGCTAAACCCAGAGGTCGCTTACATCAGGTTTCACTGTACATGTACATGTACGTGTATGTGGATAAAGAAATGGAGCAGAACTACAGGAAGTGCGCGCCTTAAGGTTTTTATGGTAGTAGTATTTTATTATTGGACTAGGGGAGTCCCAACAGGTTCTGCCGATTGCACTGCTTTTCGAGCAGAATCTGCCAATTGTTCGAGCATTATACGCCAAGCCCAAGGGCTACCACTGTACGCCCCAGCGGCAGATTATTATTATTATTATTATTATTATTATTATTTGTAAGAAAGGGTTTGCTCCCCACACCGGAGCTCGCGCTATTCCGCCGACTTTACTTGACACTTGACTGACTCACGACTGCCATCCAGAGCACACGAGAAGTCCATCGAACCTTCGACTCGGCAAACCTGCAAGAAAGCACCACTCCCTGCTCAATACACAGTGTTTCGGGGAATTCACCCCTCATCAGTTGAGCTTGAGTAGGCTGAGGAAGATTGTGCCTGAAGAGCACCACTTATATAGTGCTCTCCAAGCACAAACATCACCAGGGATACAAACTTACAGAGACGCTCCGTTTCAAGCGTGACAAACACCTCGTGAACACCAGATAGCAGCGTGAGTCAGTGTCGCTCCTGGACGGTGAGACAGACGTCGAGGACCCTCGGTCATTCGCAACGCTGTCACCTCCAAACCAACTAGTCGCAAGCCCGCGCTGGGCACAACAGTACGAAGTAGTGGTTGCGACTTCGGCGATAATTTGTAAGAAAGGGTTTGCTCCCCACACCGGAGCTCGCGCTATTCCGCCGACTTTACTTGACACTTGACTGACTCACGACTGCCATCCAGAGCACACGAGAAGTCCATCGAACCTTCGACTCGGCAAACCTGCAAGAAAGCACCACTCCCTGCTCAATACACAGTGTTTCGGGGAATTCACCCCTCATCAGTTGAGCTTGAGTAGGCTGAGGAAGATTGTGCCTGAAGAGCACCACTTATATAGTGCTCTCCAAGCACAAACATCACCAGGGATACAAACTTACAGAGACGCTCCGTTTCAAGCGTGACAAACACCTCGTGAACACCAGATAGCAGCGTGAGTCAGTGTCGCTCCTGGACGGTGAGCGACACTGACTCACGCTGCTATCTGGTGTTCACGAGGTGTTTGTCACGCTTGAAACGGAGCGTCTCTGTAAGTTTGTATCCCTGGTGATGTTTGTGCTTGGAGAGCACTATATAAGTGGTGCTCTTCAGGCACAATCTTCCTCAGCCTACTCAAGCTCAACTGATGAGGGGTGAATTCCCCGAAACACTGTGTATTGAGCAGGGAGTGGTGCTTTCTTGCAGGTTTGCCGAGTCGAAGGTTCGATGGACTTCTCGTGTGCTCTGGATGGCAGTCGTGAGTCAGTCAAGTGTCAAGTAAAGTCGGCGGAATAGCGCGAGCTCCGGTGTGGGGAGCAAACCCTTTCTTACAAATTATCGCCGAAGTCGCAACCACTACTTCGTATTATTATTATTATTATTATTATTATTATTATTGAGTGGTGCTTTCTTGCAGGTTTGCCGAGTCTAAGGTTCGATGGACTTCTCGTGTGCTCTGGATGGCAGTCGTGAGTCAGTCAAGTGTCAAGTAAAGTCGGCGGAATAGCGCGAGCTCCGGTGTGGGGAGCAAACCCTTTCTTATTATTATTATGACGACTTTATTCACTCCCAAAGCAGAAAAAGAAAACTTGAAAGGAGGCATGAAGCACAGCACCGGGATCCATATGACCCAAGGGTGAAGCACCAATCAATGAAGATAAAAGAAAATCCTGAACCAAATTTTGATAAACTTCATGAGAGAAAAATTCAAGTATACCAACTTCGATACTCACATAAAATCACAGTCATGTATAACAGAACTACTCAAGTAGTAAACACCAAGCATGCTGCACATGGGACACTCCAAGCAAGACAAACTCAGACGAGATAAAACGGCATATGCAGAGAAAGACAATACATGACTGGGGGCATATGGCAGAAATTCACGCCTCTCGGCTCGTCACACAGCACATGATGCACCACAATCATAAAACACACAGACTGAGACACATCGAGACATTACGGGCAGGCTAACATAAGGTCAACCGACCGTTCCGACCATGCCACTCTCCCAGCCATGACCAGTCACCGACCGCACAATTCTCAGGGTGCCCAGAATAGCACATTGCTGCAGCCGCTGGATCACGGACGCGTGGAGCCCAAGGCTTAAGATGTGGCTGCGGCTCGTTCCTGACACACCACCCAGAGCACCAATGATAACTGGAACAATAGTTATCTTTTTGTTCCAGATCCTCCTCAGCTCTGCTGCCAAGGGCAGGTATTTGCTGATCTTCTCCTGCACCTTCTCATTGACCCTGTGGTCCAATGGGACACTGACGTCCAAGAGCAGTGCCCGATCATCCAGAACCAGCACCAGGTCTGGTCTGTTCGCTTTTATTACTCGATCTGTGGGAATGGAAATCTCCCACATCAGCTTGCAACTGGCAGAACTTGTGACCTGCACCAGCTGCTTACTGCTGGGTAATCCATGCTGCTTACACAGCGCACGATGCAGGGCATATTATTATTATTATTATTATTATTATTAGTGCAATTAGGAGTATAATCGATGCAGACATGGCCAGACAACAACGAGTTCATGGAATTTTTAAGGATTTTTTATGTTATTCAAAATCGATTTTCGTGTTCCGCTCATCAGTGAATAGTATCGGAACTGAGGGTACTGTGTACAAAAATAGAAGATTTTATAACAGCATAATTAATTAAAAGTGTGAACAACAAAGGAAGTGCTACAGCATTACATAATAGGTGTCAAACATAGTGCTAACGTATATAACTGAGTGCAGCCACAAAGCAAGAAGTGATACAGTGCAACATGACACAACATTTACATCTGATAACCAGCTACGAGAACAACTTTAGCGCGACTACAAAGCCACAAAGCAGGTATGTAAAAAGAGTTTTCAAAGGTGCGATGTTGGCATCATGTTGCTATGGAAATATTTGCAATACAAAAGAGCAAATATCAAGAAGTACCAATGACAATGTGGGTCTTGGTCACAACTAGGTAATGCAAACAAATTGAATGTAGTGCATGCAATTATCAATGTGGTGCTCCTTTTTAGTTTAGTTTTCTTCCTTTTAGTTTAGTTTTTCTTCTCTTCTTCTTTTTTATTTTGCTTTGCCCGTACAAGAGGCTTACTTCATTTAAAAATTCTAAAAATTCTAAAAAAAAAAAATTATCAATGTGGTAGTACCGTAATACTAGTTTCATAGTGTAATCTAGACCAGGGAGTCGTAAAATACCAGGGAGTCGTAAAAAAAGGTATTTTACGACTCCCTGATCTAGACCGAATTCCACATCCAGAATGCCAAAATTGGCAAAAATGTATCGGATGCCGGTAAAAACTGCTGTTTATGCTAGCATCGTGTGGAGTCACAAAAAGGCCCTTTTATGCTACTTTGGGTGCTAGCATTTGCCGCTGGGGCCTAGCTACCAGGAAGTGGTGCACATCAGGGAGTGCTAAAATACTGGTACTTTGCTACTCCCTGCATGGTGCGGATGCTACTGGACACATGTAACCAAGACTCTTGCAAGAGTATTATACATGTACATCATGTAGGCCCCAGGAAGGGGAGGGGGAGGGGGGGGAGGGGGTATAATTGCACTCTTGTTGTAACCAACTGAAGCGCAGTCTAGCGTTTGGTACCAGGGTGTAGTGAAACGAATAGTAGGTATTTTACTATTACTCCCTGGTGCTGACATTGAACGACACATGAGCGGATACATACGCGTAGCTCTTTTTGCTCTAAAACTTTTATCCGGTAGTTCAGGGTGTTGAAAAGGGAAAAAAGGGCGAAGAAAAATTGACTGTAGAATAGAAGAGAACTCAATGTACAGTAGGATTCTGTAACCAGGTACATTGTACATGTGTCAGTCCACAAAAGGCCCCATGACCAAACATGGTCCTCGTGACCAGTCACACTCCACCCCCCCCCCCCCGCCCCTCCCATGAGTGACATGACCAGTCACAAGTTCACATGGGCGCGAGTTATGAAGTGCTAGTAACTGTCCATCGTTGGAATAAGATAACAAGCGAAAGTGCTTTAAAACTGCTTTTAAATTTAATGAAACTTAGTTGGAAGGCTTTTGGTTTGCGCACTGTAGATTTGTTGAGCTACAATGTACTGTAGTACTCGAAGTACCGACAGTACATGTAGTTATAATTGATCTCAAAAGTAGTCATTCATTAGGTAAGAACTTAGATTTGAAGCTATTGAAAGCAAGATCCTTTGAAATAAACTAACTTCCTACACTGCATGACACCACTAGCATTATCGATGAAGTTGGGTCACGATGTCAGAGAATATTCTGGTTTCAATACTATCGCCGGTATTCCAGCAAGTGGGAAATTGAAGCCCTATAAGTACGTGTATATCATATCGAAAGGGGAACGTGATGATTGTACTCTGCAATAGGTCAACTGTTACTTAGTCATGACTCTAGAAAAAAAGAAAGAAAAAAAGTAATAGTATTCTATACAATGCTTATGTGCTCTCTTGACAACTCTACATCATCAGGACATCATCATGACAAATTGACAATGACACTCTTACTTGAGTCTTAGAACATTAGCAGTATGCAGTAAAACCTGTAACTAGCGACCACCGTGACTAGCGACCACCGTGACTAGCGACCAGCCTGGTACTACAGAGTACAGACCACTTTCTCTGGCCCCAATGGGTGGTCGTTAGTTACAGGTTGTACTGTACTAGAACCGAACTCCTAATCCATGAAAGCACATTGCACATCACGTTAGCTAAAAATAGAGTGCTTCGTGTGTTCGTCTCAGCCCTGTACTCGCAGCGTACCGCAACGCCAATGAGTACTGTTAACAACAAAATTACTACTATCACTGTGTCAGGATCCGCTTCATTGTTGCCGAAGAGGACGCCAAGGCCCAAACCAAGCTCTATTTTAATAAAATGTAAAGGCCACGCCGGGTATATAATGCCACCGGATTGAGGCAGTGTTATGTACCCTATGGTATGGCAATCCTTGGCGGACACACCACACTGTGCTTGTAACGCTCGCAGCGTGCTCAGATGCTGAACAATACCAATGCTTGAAGCAGAATCATGTAGAAGATCGGCACTACGGAACCTGATCAACGTGTACCGGTGAGATTGGTGAGGACTGATAGTGGGTTGTCGGCGTCTTTGGCATCACAGCTGGCGGCCGGATACAGTTGCGCTTGTCGGCAGACGGACTACAGGAGTGTGGGCGCTGAACTGATGGTTCGTTCTCCGTGCTGCACGGCTCCTGTCGTTGCTGCTGGTCGGGCACTGTCTCTGGCAAGTTACACACGGTTACTGGATGGCAATACAGTTCGGAGTCGAGGACGTCGTGCACTTTGCTAATGGCATATGCATACTTGGTAGGAGCGGTCGAAGCGACTGGCAGACTCTCATCGGAAGATCGTCGAGTGTTGTTGGACTCAGCCGGAGATGACACATCGCAGGGATTTACCTCCAAGCTAATGCCGCACTGAACATCTAGAGTACTGGAGCCCGGGCACTGGGCATCCGGTTCCTTCTCCGTGTTGCGCGGGTCCTGCGGCTGCTGATGATCGGGTGTAGTGGCTGGCAAGTTACACACGGCTACTGGTTGGCAATATGGTTGGGAGTTGAGGACGTCGTGCACTTTTCTGATGGCGTATGCGTATTTAGTGGGATCGGTCGGACTGACGGGAAGACTCCCAACGGAAGATCGTCGACTGCTGTTTGACTCAGCCGGAGATGACACATCGCCAGGATTCGATTCCAAGCTAACACTGCACTGAAGATCAAGCCTGCTGGAGTCCGGGCGCTGAGCTGATGGTTCATTCTCGGTGCTGCACGGCTCCTGCGGCTCCTGCGGCTGCAGCTGGTCGGGGGTAGTGGCTGGCAAGTTACACACGGCCACAGGTTGGCAATACGGTTGGGAGTTGAGGACGTCGTGCACTTTTCTGATGGCATAAGCATACTTAGTAGGATCAGTCGAAGTGATGGGCAAACTCTCAGCGGAAGATCGTCGACTGGTACTGGACTCGGCCGGAGATGACACATCGAAGCAGGGATTCGACTCGGCCAAGCTAATACTGCACTGAAGATTAGTGAGGATCGTGCTCACGCTCTGCGATCGATCTGCAGGTCGGGTTCCAGTAGCTGCAGCCGCTTCAACACTAGCTGAATACTGTTGTGGAACGTCGATCTTGAAGTTACTGCGCTGCGACTTGGGCATTCGCCTTCAAGGGAGGAAAACAAACAAACAAACAAGCAAACAAACAAACATTATGCGGCCTGTCAGAACAATCCAAAAGTCTTGTAGATTTGGAGGAGCCGGCATAATATCTGCAATTATACTACAAGGGCGATGCTGTATTCAACAACATCGTTCCTACTAGTACGTAGCGCAACGCTAACACTGGGCTCCTGGTTGTGTGTAGACGCCATCTTAAAAAACTTCCATGCAGACCTATAATGATTATTATTCTAGACAGTCTAGTACATTGTATGTGCCTCGAAGTATCAATGATGTTTTTTATGAAAACATCTGAGTAAGCCAATTACTGGGTGGGTATGATGGTGCTTGCACATCGCCTATGCTGTGGTAGAATGTGCCCTGGCCGCATTACACAGTCAGATAGTGCAACAAGTTCACTCAAGTTGGCACAACACCGACCATCCGAGTTCCAATTAGTACGTACCTGGTGATCATTCTATGGAGGTGGATGAGGCGGATCACAACACAGAGTAGTGCACAGCTCAGCAAGCCAAGTCCGATTTGAACGTACGGCTGGTACTGAGAGGGAGTGGTGCTGCCTTCCTGGAGTACAGGCGTTTCTAGAGGAAGGCAACGGCAAAGAATGGCAGTCATTGGTCAGACAAGTGTCCAGTACTCGTACTGAGTAGGTTGGTACATACTTCGAAGTAGGAAGAAGCGAACCTCTCAGCGATGATAGCAATCAAACTGTGGGGCGTTCAAGACACAGTGCATGAAAATTGATCACCTTATCATGTACATGTATAATAATGTTCATGGAGCTGATCTTTGGGTTCATCCTAGAAACGTTTCTTCGTTGGGCTGAGGAGAACACTATTGACAGCATACATACGTCCATGATGATCCTGGTTTGGCGTGCAACTACATGTATAATGCTATGAATGTACATTGTGGTTCCTCTATTTTTTTGCGCTAGGACATGTATATGTTTCAAGGCACAGTAAGAGTAGCGGATAAGATGGGATAGGCTTGGAGGGATTGGGTTGGTAAGACCTTACTGATTTCAGGGGTAAATACCTGTTTGTTCTGACTGAGACCTAGCAGGGTATGGATAAACGTATGATTGTGTTGTGAAACAGTACTCACCAGATAAGGTGAGATTGAAGACAGCAATGACACCGATGCCACCACCTTCTTCGCTCGACTGCACGCCGCAGTAGTACATGCCTTCTGATTGTACGCTGAACTGGTCGATGCGATACAGAAAACTCCGCTTGTCGATCGCCGACCTAACTCTGACTTTTGCCTTGGCCGCTAACGCCTGTACCGAGCAGAGGAGGATAGTCACTCGAATTGGAAACATCGGAAACGCTGTCGTTCAGATAGCTACGAGAGAGGTTTAAAAAGATGCACGTTTTTTCCGGCGTGACGCGCAATTTCACGTCAAATTTGGCGTAAGACTCCAAATTTCGACGTAAGCTGCAGGTCACTCGCGTTGTTTTCCAACGCGCGAGCCAAATAAGGCGAGCTGCGTCAAGTCAGAAATAACGTGCATCTTAACCTCTCTAACATGTGGCGTCCACCTGACCTGAGTCTGCTACTACATGTAGTACATTGCTTTTTCATTAGTCTACAGTACTTCCATGCAGTCGTCAGTTGAGGGAGTTGAAAGGGGGAAAACGGGAAAAAGCCATTTTCTTTCGAAGAATTCGCCACTCACCCGTTGCGACGGAAAGACTTGAAAACGATCGCCAGTCGGACAGACCAGGACCACGGTCTGCCCGGGGTGCGCCGCCAAGTCAACACAGCTGAGGTAGGGGTTGGATCCAGCGGCCGTGAGACCTTCAGAGCATGGAAGAGCAAGCGTAAAGACGAATACTTAGATCAGACGATGGACACTGAATGGCCATTTAATAGAAATATAGAAATAACGTAAGGTGATAAGAGTGCAAGGTAGTGTGTAAGTTGATATTAAAGAGTTATGTAGCCTCATCTTGAATGTTTAAAAAAAGGAACGTACATGTACACGGTCGCATTCTATGTTTTTTAAAGTTTTTTTTTACTACGTACACAACCTACTCGTCAGAAGGGGAGAAGACAACAGAGTATACAATAACAAAACAACAGGGAGAGTAAGGGCTGCAAAGCAAGCCTGTGCTGGTGAGGCAAGCCCACAATATGTATGCCCTCGACCACACCAAAAAGTCGGAAACTCAACTGAATCCATGGTGATTATAATGCAACTGATGATGAAAGGCAAATCCAGCACCGAAATGATTCCTATCCAAACATGTTCACTAGTTTGAGGGAAAGAGACAAACGGGAAAAGTCTGAAGAAAAAATTGACCGTCACCACCAGGACTCGAACCAGGGACCCTCGCTTGTAGCTAGCGATGCTCTAACCACTGAGCTATGGTGTAGTCGTCCTCCCAGCAGAGACTGTTCAACATTTTCTTCAGACTTCGTAACTCACACTTCCTGTGAATCCACACAGGCGGGTGGGACGCAGCCCTCACTGTACCCACACACTTCACGTACACTCTAGCACGCGGGGAGCCCCAAGTCATAACATCTTCACTAGTTTGAGGGAAAGAGACAAACGGGAAAAGTCTGAAGAAAAAAAAAACATGTACTTGTACTACTAGTATCAGCTTCACAACGCATGGCTCCGCCGGCCGCGTTCCGTGATTGTGCTAGAGAAATGCCCAAGACCGTTGAGCTGAAATAGTAGTTTGACAGGGGGTGGTTGGGTTTCTAAGAATTTGAACGCTCCAAATTAGCTGTTTTCACATTGTTGCTTAGCCTACAGTGTCAAAGCTAGTAGATAGTACTGTATGGTCTCTGTGAAGTAAACATTCTGTCTACGTTCACCAAGCAGTCTGGAATGGTCCATCCTCAAATTGAGGCAATCAGTGAAACTAAATACAGGTTTGCAGAGATATTCTGTGTTATGACTGTTGAGGATGATTTGCGTGTTCTTTTTAACAGTGCAACACTTATTGTTTGAAAGCTGTAATTTAGTAACGAGTTTATCGACAATGGGTGAGGAAAATATCGTGCATGATGCGCGAACCTGTGATAACTTATGCCGAGTGCCAGTAAGTCCAATTTGTTCTCATTCTGTTGTGTTATGGTCCTATACTGTACATTCTTTGACAACATTGCACTACACATTGCACGTGTAACACCAATACTACCTACCCAATATTGCACTGCTCACGCTAACACCACAGCTAGTACACACGTGCCTCAAACGGTTAAGGTGAGAACAAGAGAAGCCAAGGACAATGTAGTATGATCACGGTAGGTGTGATGCAGCGTTAACATTTTAATGTTAACGCAGCGTTAACATTATAATGTTAACGCTGCATCACATCTAAGAGGCATTTGAGCAGGTCGCACATGCAGCTTTTTTTCTCCTTTTGCTGGTACGTCTACATGTAGAACGGTTAACTAAACCTAATTGTTTTCAATTCGAATGCATGCATACAGGAGACAGGGATGTTTTGTGGTAAAGTTAAGGTAAGTAACTGTTTCACACGCTGGGCCAGCACCATTCGGACAGCATCAAACTGCATATGAAGGGATTCTGGACAATTGGCAACACATTGCTTACCTTCACCGGTGATACTGGACAGATGTAATGCCAACATGGCCATCGCAACTCCTTTCCACAATCTCAGACTACACACTTCGGCCATAATTTCAATCTGAATGGAGCCAATGCCTGAATATCTACAAGTCTGTTGATATCTAAGAAGTGAACTCTGCCTCCGCGGTGTTGAGCACTGTCAGCACACTGCGTACATCCTCCGGGGATGTCTGAGAAGTGATGTAAAAGCCTCAGTCGAGGCAGGTGAGAAGGCAACACAGCTAGCTGTAGGGGAGAGAAAGGTTTTCCAGCGCGCGAGGCTGTCTCTGAAAGGGCATTGGTGTGACTGAAGAGGTCCTAGTGACTTCTGTCGAAATGCACGAGACTGGCGAAATGCTGACGTTGGTCAGAGTTCACAGGATTCCAACGAGATCACCTGTAACCTTTAGTGCCTTGCGCAGCACTCTAATATGTGTGGATATTCGACCCAGAACTGTCAATTATGTTTTACGAGGCTGCGATACAAACATGCTACCCCCTTGTGTATCACTTTAACCAGAAGCCAACCTCCAGGTTCCGTTAGGCAAGCGTGCATTCCTACACGTATAACACAGGGTGTTGGTCTGAATCTACAGTGCTTTATGAAATCCGATCAAGCGAGTGAGAATGCCACACCAAGCGCGATGTGTGCAGCTCTAGACCTCCGAACACGTGGATGGTGAATTGGTGCGGGGCGCAATCTGGACCCGCGCGATCGGATTTCATTGAGCAGCACTGTCCTATGTATCTTACATGGGGATATAATTATGCATCATCTACATGTCACTGTGTGACTGTGACCGCGGGCCACGTTCCCAAGGTGGTCGTGACAGTGTCGCATTTGCGATCGACTGTCTGACCCGTGACAGCACCAAGTTTGGCAAGATTCCGGGGATCGGGAAAGGGGTGGCGCTGAGGTGCCAGATCGTCCCGGATGTGGAGAACGCGATGTACTGCCTAGTGCTGAGCGAGTAGTGCAGATACGACGTCTCCCTCTTGGACTGGCGTTATCAGTTCTATTCACGTCGTTAGTGCCTCTCACGATCTGACAACCTTGCAATCATACAGCGTCCACGGGCGATCGTGCGGCAAGTCTCTACTCTGACTACAGTGTACTGGAGCGGACTCTCCCCCCCCCCCCCACCAGCAGTGGCACAGGATACATTTTTCCATGCTGTGCATCTTGACACGGTTCTCTTAAGCACCGATGTCCGAAACGTTTTAAATGGCGTAACCATTCATGGCAGACTACCGATCGGTGAAGTGTGTTGGTATAACGTTAGTTGCATACATTGTACATCCATCCGGTCACGATAATACACCTGTACATGACGTTGTATGCAGATTTCCGCCAGTTTTGTGTCACGCATTCACTGGACCCGTGCACTGTTGTCTGTAGGTTGTGTCAAGTTTCTTTCTTATTCACTCTACAATAATGACTATATGATGGAAACCTCCGGTAGTTAGAACGCGTGGCCTTGGTCCAGTCTGTCTGTATGTCCAGACCAGAGTAACATGGGATTATAATTGTTACCGGTGTGTAGAATTATCATAGGTAGAATGCACGGCACGGGGGAACGTGACAACGTTGAATAGCATACCTGCTAACTTCCTTGATATTCAGGAGTATCAATGACCTGTCAGGCACATGTGGAGCGAGCGAATTCGAGGAACGAATTCAGAAACGAGACGACAGCGGCCATCCAGTCAGGGATTGCAGAAATACACCTCTGGCAGCGGCATTTCTAGTAAGTATTTCTATTTGAAGTAGTTTCAGAGTCATAATATAAACACAAAAGTCATTTACCGGAAGATCACCTTGTATGTCATTGTCATGTTATAACTGGAAGTGCATGTACGTGTACGTGTACTTGTACGTGTACTTGTACTTGTACGTGTACGTGTACGTGTACGTGTACGTGTACTTGCTACCTGCACGATTGCAGAATGGCTGAGTTTGTTTTTAAAGTTGTCATAATGTCTACTAGTACCTGTTCACGGGCACAGTGCCCAGCAGGAGTATCACACAATGAACATCCAGTTCGGCATTCGCAGCAGCTGCGCTTTGGAAAACAACAACAACAACTACACCATAACAATGCGCGGGGGGAGGGCGGGGGAGGGGACTACCAGGGTTCCAATTTCCTACCTTCAGTGGCTATTCACTACATTTGTAACACGGTGATATTATCACGGTGTTACAGTTGAAATGAAAGCGAAAAAAGGGGCAGTCGGTCTTTCAAGAGTTGTGGCGAATGTGACTGTTGTGACTCGTGCTCGTGATCCCTAGCTTCCGATCGGGGCAGACTCTACAAACCTCGTTCGCGCCCCAAGAAACTGAGGCAGTCAGGAAGCTAGCGTTGAATTCTACTACATGTACAGTACTCAGACTGGGGACATACATGTAATGGAACGTGGCACATGCTGTGGCTATGGCGGAGTTTCATGCCAATGAGTGATCATCAGAAAACAGCAGACTTCTACATACATGTACATGTTAACTCCAGAGTTAACATGTACATGTTTTAATGGGGGTCGGACTCATCTTTCCCTGTTTTTGATTTGAATTTAAACGTTCATTTCCCCAGGCCCTGTGCTACCAGAAGTGACCAATGGCGTGCCAAGAAGCTACTTTAGACTTCCCAAGAATCTATACGAGCTACCACAAAGGCCAACCCAAGACAGTTGCTGTCCAAATAGTGTGCCAACTTTCTGTTTTTCGACGGCCATTCAGAGTGATCTGAGGTGATTTCATTGATTCCCGTATCCGCGCTCATTGACTGTTGAGGACTCTATTCCGAGCATGCTCATTCTATTTCGTGACCATCTGCGCTATTGATCATTATCCACTTGCCTCTGCTATACATGTACATGTACATGTACATGTACATGTACATGATTGTAATAGCTCTTTTTAAAAAACATCGGTCCATTGTTTTCTGCTCACGTGCACTCTGATCGACTTGCAAAGGCAATTTTTAAAAGTCTCGCGACCCGCGGCTTGGCTACGGATCCAATGCGCCTACTTGGAAACACCGGTACCTCCTGTAGATATCTTACTTTCAGGACACCACAGAGCTAAGATGCCGCTATCTGCGGTACAGCTGTACAGGGGTAACGAGCTGGTGCAACATGAAGAGGCCGGTGATGTTGAAACTCCCTGCGTTCTTGCAGCGTCGATGCTCGAGCGCTCAGAGAGTTGCTGATTATTGGTATTGTCCGATGCATCTCCTCAGGTGGATACACTTTGGCGAGTCTGACAACACCACTCTCATCTCCTTTCCGCCTTAATCAGTACTTGACACGACATGGCGCATATGTTCCTTGTAATCCCGTCCATCCTTATTTGTACAGGAGAACCAAAGATCCGTTTCCAGTTATACAAAGCGTACGATGGGTGGGCAAGAACTGCTTCAGTCCTGATCGTGCCAGTAGATATGCCGAGGCTGGCATTCAGCGATAGCTAATCGGATGTCAATTTTGTAAAGCAGGAGGCTGCAAGAAGATCACCTGGCTTTTGCGTGCACCGTGGGGTGGTCGCTCAAACCAGGTTTTACTGTACTTGTAGTTGTACATAGTCACCTACATGTCGTTTGAAGCTCACAGACTGGCTTCAGAGTGGTTCAACGATAGGCAGATCTTCTATCAACAGGAAAGGGGAGGCTAGGCGACAGTTTGGAAGATGAGTCACGCAGCGTCTACATGACTAAAATGTACATGTCACATGTCCGTCTGATGAGTGTGTATGAACACGAAACTCCGAGTTACGAGAAAGATTTGATTTTTGGTCTCTGTTGTTCTGCCCTTGTGCCACATGTCAAGTACAGTAAATCACCACAGTGTCCTAAAGTCGCTGGGTTAGAAGCTCAGTTTTCCTGTGGAGAGGAAACATGGAATCATGGTACATTGTACATGCTACCAATGTCACCTGTTTAAAAAAATAATAGTGTACCTCCACCGGCTCAACTCCAGCTACAATCTATGTGGTATTTCAGGGGAATGAATCAGACCACATCATCACCATGATCGCGCTCGGCTCTCGGTGCGCTCAGCTCGTATACGCGATGTTCCGCTTGAAGAGCCACTTCAAAAGTCCACACACACCGTCAAGTGCACATGCCACTCAGTGCCTTTGTTCATGGCGAGATCGCGTGCCAAAATAGCAATACTTATGGTCCTCTGTTTTTAACTTCTAGTACTAGTAGCGTATTGTTAGATTGACAGCATGAAACAAGGTGGAGGACACTGTGTTCGGAAACAGTGACCTTACTGCGGAAGGTTTAGGTCACTGTTTCTGAACACAGTGTCCTCCACCTTGTTTCATCCTGTCAATCTAACAATATGCGTGAACTATAACAAGGCTTATTTTTGAACCAGTATTTTATAAAACGAAGTAGTTATTTTATAGGTTATAATAATAGTAGTGTATTGTACATGATTTGTACACTGCATGTGACAACTGACAGCGACAGGAGCAGTGTGAACATGAATGCCATCACCGGAGGAGTATGGGGTCCTTCCCGGACGGTGCTGATGCCACCATCCAGGGATCGCAGATCGTGTAGAGCTATTTTTTTACTGGAACACAGCCCGTAAACGTCGGCGTGTAGGAACACTTCAATCTCCAGACATACCAAGCAAGCAGCTGGTTGTGGGATACTGTTCCCGAAAACCCCTCTCAATCCAGTCTAGTTACGTTACCGTTTTTGGCCATGTACGGAAATACCCTCCATCAGGACATGATCATTAATTTTACTTATGCTGGTATTGTCACCCTTCCTGCACCCTGACCTCTCTGAAATACATGTATGTACGTGTACTGCCGGGCTCAAGAGCTGCAACCAGGGGCCATAATCCAACATGACCGTTATGTACAATCATGTATATGCCGAATTCTAAAGGTGCACGTTTTTTTTAAAAGTTCATAAGAATGATGTGCACTGCTCGTCTGTGCGGCCCACCACAACTGTGATTTCAAGGATCTGCTAAACTAGTAGCTCTGCCTTCATGTCGCAAGGCTGGAACGTGGACCCAGTATTACCAAGCCCCTTTCGTGAAACGTTTCAACAGAGCACACGATGGTCCTTTCAGGATCTGTTAGTCATCTGG